TTCAAACCTGTCCCATTTGTTCAAACCTGTCCCATTTATTCAAATGTGTCATTTATTTAAACCTATCCCATTTGTTCAAACCTGTCCCATTTATTCAAACCTGTCCCATTTGTTTTGTATATATTGCTGTTTTAAAACTTCAAATACACTATATTAATTAAACTAATACCAAATCTTATATTCATAATTCTTTACTTACATGATCGAGTATTCAAAGATAAATTCATCTTGGAGATTTTAATTAATTTTTAAATATAATCTTAATATTAAGTTTTAAATGATTTATAAAATTTAACTACTGAATTCTCTATCATCTCACAATACCATTCTGCTTCAACTTAAGCAGTTACAAACACATAACAGTATTTTTTCACCACATTTTTCACCACATTACAGAGACAATTGAATAATAAAAATATTTTACAATGAGAATAAAGAGTTTACTTCAGGTTCAGGGTGGACTTGAAAAAAATAATCCCTTCTATTGTGACCACAAAAGATTTGAAATATTAAAATAGTGTAGCAGTTTTTTTGTTTCAAAAACGTATCATTAAACTACTTGAATAAAAAAAAGAACGTGTCAAGGGGTAAGATCCACCACTGAATGTAAATAAACACTTTAGAATAAAATGATGTTTGTTTATTAAACATAGTTAACCTTAATAGAGTTAATCTTATAATATAGTTAACTTCATATTTGTTAACTTTAATATAGTTAACCATAATTTGGCAGCCTTAATATAGTTAACCTTAAGAGAGTTTATATATACTGTATATAATCTTCATTTAACTAAAGCATACTGAATAATATGTTTCTACAATGTATCTGTTTCTACATCTACAGAATATAATTCTAATATAGTTTCTAATAATAATGAAATTATAATATGAAATAAGCAATATAGCATTACACAGCCAATATGATTCGGCGCCGTTTCGGCATCGAAAAAATTTGGCACCGTTTCGGCACTGTTCCGGCACCGAAACCTTTCAACACCAAAATTTGCCACCGGACTAGTAAGTCCATTTGGTACCGAAATGGCACCGAAATGTGGCACCAAAACAGCGTCAAAAATCAGATTGCATTTTGGGGGTGTATATAGCCAGTAGCCAAACTTCATCAGGAGGGGTTCTAATATTTCAGCTCCTTTTTTTCGATGGAGCTCAAAATTGCAACAAATGATGCAATTGTTTTCCCAAAAATACATATTTTACAATGACATTAAGGCCAAAATGGGTGAAATCTGGGGGGGGCTAGGGGGTTACACTAGGCCCCTTGATTACTGGCATGTATAAACTTACAAAGTGGCATGTTTACTATAGACATATTTAAATGGTACAAATTATGTGTTTTTGGTATCATAGTACACCTGTTCAAACTCTTACTCAAAAAACACATTCTTCCACTTAATGAACAATATACACAATGGTAATAATTAGAGATGTCACGGAACAAAAAAAAAACGGAACGGTTCGGTTCGGAACATTTTGCTTCGGAACGGAACAATTTCGGAATGGTTCGGAACAGAGTGACTAGGTCTATTTGCTTGCGAAAAGCTCTTCAAAACTCTTCAAAGAGAAGGACTTAAAAGAATGAACCTCTTTTGATACAAAATATTGAAAGAAAAATGCTGTTTTGTGGAGATTCAAGTGCCAGAAGTTGTGAAGGGGCAAAATGTTCTTGTTCCGGAACCAAACCGAAATTCTTAATTTTTGTTCCGTGTTCCGTTCCGAAGGCATAATTCCGCGGATCGGAACAAAATTGGGTATCCGTGACACCTCTAGTAATAATATCTAATTCTCTAATAGCTTTTAGCAATCTGAGAACCAGACAGGTCACTTTTCCCGCAATATGCTGATGACAGTACTCATCTAACAAGTAAAATGTCACTACCTGCCATTTGTTACAGATGCAGAATACTGATCACCAACTACCGAATACCATGCACAAAAAAGGATGGAGACCATGACAATGTCACCACTTTCTTGTGGTATCATATAAATCAGATCACATGTGCACATCCATTGAAATGGTTAAGACTGAGAATTTATGAACACCTAAAATCAATAAACAATGCTTAAATCGAATTCAAATTTACAAATCCAGTTCAAAAATGTCTGAATTTATAATTACAGCACAATACATGTAATAATAAAATAAACATTTTATCTTTGTTTATACTTTTTTTAACAGATTTCCAAAGGCTTTATTATTTGTAAAAACATAATCAATTCTTCAAACAGTGTTTTGAGACTTATGCCTCCATGTAAAATCATTTTTGTTTATACTTAACAAAAGAGGAATGACATAGAATTTCAGATAGTTTTTTCAATTATAGAATTCAAGACAGAAGAAGAATAAATATGTGAAAAGCCAAAATGCTTTGATGAAGATAACATTTTGGGTTTTGAGAATGCAGACGATATGATTGAAAATGACATCTTATGTCTGGACTGGAAATAGAAGATTAAAAATCAAATATGACATCTTATGTCAGGACTGGAAATAGAAAATGACATCTTATGTCAGGACTGGAAATAGAAGATTAAAAATCAAAAATGGCATCTTATGTCAGGACTGGAAATAGAAGATTAAAAATCAAAAATGGCATCTTATGTCAGGACTGGAAATAGAAGATTACAAATCGAAAATGACATCTTATGTCAGGACTTGAAATAGAAGATTACAAATCAAAAACGACATCTTATGTCAGGACTGGAAATAGAAGATTACAAATCAAAAATGACATCTTATGTCAGGACTGGAAATAGAAGATTAAAAATCAAAAATGGCATCTTATGTCAGGACTGGAAATAGAAGATTACAGATCGAAAATGACATCTTATGTCAGGACTTGAAATAGAAGATTACAAATCAAAAACGACATCTTATGTCAGGACTGGAAATAGAAGATTACAAATCAAAAATGGCATCTTATGTCAGGACTGGAAATAGAAGATTACAAATCGAAAATGACATCTTATGTCAGGACTTGAAATAGAAGATTAAGAAGATGAATTTTTCAGAAAATTAAACTCATCAGGAAAATCCAGTTATCAAGGTGAAAGACAAATATACTAGATTGAGAGGACGAGAAGATTAATTTACATTCCAACTGAAAAGCTGTGAATGAATATAGGAGAAACCCAAAACGGGTAAGGACAAACCAATGATAAGATAGAACATACGAACCATATCTCATTTCATCATTTTCGAAGATAAAATACAAGAAGCCTTTGGTCAAACACCAGACCAATGAGAACATTAAGAGTGATTTTTAAGGAATTAAAACAAATGATGAACATTCCCCAATCAAATAAATAGTTTTGACAATTCTGAATTTACTATATTGTAATAGCATCCTGGGCATATTACTTTCTGATCAGAAGATATTAATGATCTGCCTTAAGAGGGGATTCTTTAAACTAAAAAATAATTTCCATGATGCCATACCTTCATATACAGGTGTCCAAAAAAGGAGCGAAGAAAGATTGATGAACTCGGTCAATTTTGCATATTCTGCCTTGGAATTTCAGAATTATTGAGTTCATTCAATGTGAATTTTGTTGTGACAGTTTGATGATAAACTGCCAATTTAGTAATAAAAAACTACAGAAACTCACAAAACAAGCTCCAAATGGGCACCTCTCTCTATATTCAGTTGTGCTGAGGTGATGAACTCACAGAACTTACAGAGGTGTTGGACTTTAACATAAAGAAGTGTTCAACTTATTGAGTTAACTTAAAGACGTGTTCAACTGAGGTGTTCAACTTGAACTTACAAAAGTGTTCAACTTATCGAGTTCTTGAACTTACAGAACTGTTCAAATAACAAAGGTGTTGAACTTTAACTTCCAAAAGTGTTCAATAAACTGAGGTGTTCAACTTACAAAGTTTTCAACTTACTGAGGTGTTGAAATTACAGAGATGTTCAACTTTCTGAAGTGTTGAACTTACTGAGTTGTTGAACTTACAGAAGTTTTCAAATAACTGAGATGTTGAACAGTAACTTACAGAAGTGTTCAACTCACTAAGGTGTTGAACTTACAGAGGTGTTCAACTAACTGAGGTGTTCAACTTGTAGAAGTGTGAACCTACTGAGGTGTTGAACTTACAAAAGTGTTAAACTTTAACTTACAAAAGTGTTCAACTTATTGAGTTGTTGAACTTGCAGAATTGTTCAACTGAGGTGTTGAACTTACAGAAGTGTTCAACTTTAACTTACAAAAGTGTTCAATAAACTGAGGTGTTGAACTTACAAAAGTGTTCAACTAACTGAGGTGTTGAAAATACAGAAGTTTTCAACTTACTGAGGTGTTGAAAATACAGAAGTTTTCAACTTACTGAGGTGTTGAAAATACAGAAGTGTTCAACTTACTGAGGTGTTGAAATTATAGAAGTTTTCAACTCAATGAGGTGATGAACTTACAGAAGTTTTCAAATAACTGAGGTGTTGAACGGTAACTTACAGAAGTGTTAAACTAACTGAGGTGTTGAACTTACAAAAGTGTTCAAATAACTGAGTTGTTCAACTTACAAAAGTGTTCAACTAACTGAGGTGTTGAACTTACAAAAGTGTTCAAATAACTGAGTTGTTCAACTTACAAAAGTGTTCAACTTACTGAGTTAAAAGTGATATATAATTTTGACTATGACAGCTTTGGAGCCATCTTGGATCCTACAATGAATAAATACTACATACATGAAAACTCTAAACCTGTTGACACATTTTACAACATTAAGACTGGGTCAAAGATGGCAAAATATGACTGCAACTGTAAATTGTCTGTCTAAAATGATTTTAATAAATAAATAAAAAAAAATAAAAATAAAAAATTTAATCTTTATTCATTTAATTTAAATTTCAGGGTGACAGCCTCTTAAAATATCATTTTCAATTTTCAGACTTTGACTCAAGTACATCGTGTGTGTGCTAAAATGAGTCACCACATATAATTTTCCTTTTTCGTCTTAAAAGAAGTCCAGATTTTGATAGTCCTTTGATTTGTTTATGATTGTGATGTATCTGCGAGATTTGACTCCACTGTATCCCATGACAACAATGGTATTGTAAATCTAAATGAGTGTAGCGAGCCATTAGGCAGACATTCACCAAAAAACAGAAATCATTCATTTTCTGAAACTGCATGGTGACATTGAAAATCAGTCTAATGTTAGTATTTTATTGTACATGTATGTACATGTACATCCAATTCTAATGTCCATGAAGATTGGTGTCCAGAAATCTGGGAAGGTCCATCCTTGGCATCAAGAATATGATTTCCCATTTCAAAGTTTGAGTTCACTGGTGTCAATGGAATCTGAGATGGAATGGCCGAGTGGACAGAGCAACATCAAGAAAACAACCAATAATTTCAAAGTTAATGCACACTGTTGTCCTGGTTTATATTACCGTAATTGGGCATTCGCAACATCAATGATATGAGTCTGAAAAATTCAATAAAATAGTAAAATATAGAGTTAAACTTTCTGAATATATTCTTCACTTAATTAAAGTCATTCTGGTTGAACTTTTTGCGGTAAAATTGCAAATGTTGGTTCAGTGTTACTGGGTGATAAATTAATAATGGAATACTCCATGTAGCAACAATGACGATGAAATAGAGGTGCAGTGTGCCACTGACCAAGATATAGTAATTGTAAATTTTATCCAATTATAACACTAGGTAGGTGTAATTACTTTATATAAGGTACACAGCTTGAAGATGAATAATGAAATTCAAACTTGTGAAATCAGAAATTTGATAGCTACAAAATTGTGATTTCTAAAATTGGCAAAATTAAAAGTAACAGTATATTCTCCCATATCTTTGAGAGAAAAAATAGAAAAAATTACAATTACAAATGAACATTTTCTGAATGCTAGATACATGTAAGCAACTGAAGAAAAGCAATACCTATAAACCATATGAGCATTACTGATCTGATTACTATCAATATGGCAACTAAGATGTTAAGCAAAAAGAAGGAATTTTCAACACCCCTGACCAACCATTCAGGAATATTTTCATGATAAATGTTTTTCAGGAATATTTTCATGATAAATGTTTATCAGACAAAGAGTGATTTGTTAATTTTAGCTGCCATTTTAAAAGCCATTCGAACCAGATTTGAACCTGTGGTTTGCTTTTTTCAATAACATGTAATTTTAATAAATTTTAATCATCAGCAAACAATAGCACTGGGGATCTCTGGAAACTAATATATTTTTTTTATGTTTTTTTTATTTCATGATAATAAGTCATAGAATACAGTAGTACAGGGCTGACGCCTAGGCATTAATATATTATGTCTTTGTTTCAGCATGACTGGTGTTCCTGTAGAAGAATTTGAAGGAAGACTGGTCATGATAAAAGAAATTCATAATGTCTTCGTTTCCATTTGATCTCCCAGCAACTAGGCCAAGGCGAATTCTGTGTGTACACAATGGAGAGTGATAACATTTACAAGATCTATTTATACATACCTCATTAGCACCTGGGGTATTGGCGATGTTCACCTGCAGAACTTGAGTAGCATGGTCATGCTGTATCTCTTTAAGACCAGTAGTTGTATCTACATTAAACAGTTAAATGTTTTAATAATCAATGAAATATATAGTTTTTTAACATATTATTTATTTCCTTCATAATCAAAAAATACACAAAATATCTACTACCAATCGCCATAGGCATTCTAGGTAGTTTAGCAGCTATATACAGTGAAACCTGTAAAGTGGAACACATCTATTAGTGGAACACTTTTCGGAGTCCAAAGACCAACTAATTAATATTAAATGAATCTCTATAATGCCTTGGTCACATTTGCTACGATTTTCACTATGGCGCCCAGCCGATTGAATATTTTGTTCAAAATTGAATACAATATTGAACAAAACACTCAATCGGACGGGCGCCAGCCGATGGATCGGAGCATATGTGACCCAGGCATAAGTAGAACACTTTTTAAAGGTACCAAAGGTGTTCCGCTTAGATGAGTTTTACTGTACAATGTAGATATAAACAAGGATTACAGTGAACAATATTTTGCTTAAAGATAATAAAAAACTGAAGTACAGGTAGCAAGAAATAATAGAATAATGTAACTTGTAGTTACAGACAATTACAATCAATGACCAATGATTTATCAAAAAGTAATTTTTAAAATTATGATGTACAATACAAGATTTCAACTGGACGCTCCATTGAAAAAACCTCTCTTAGGGTCATCATCAAAATCTGAAGACGATATACACTGATTTTTAAACATACATAAACTCCCGTTTCACGCCCTTACCATAAAGTCTAAAAGGCACCACCATTGGTCCAATCTTCCAAATCGTGGGATTGGTTGCGCTAAGAACGTGTGTTTTATCCACCAGCATTACATTTCCATAATCAACCGCAAAGACATTGACTTGAGCTCCAGATTCATTCATAATGTAGCCCCTAAACAGAAATAATTTAAGGTAGGACTTGATCAATCAGCCAAGAATATCCATGTAGATGGACAGACTACCAGGTCACACCTTAATACTACTTACTTTGAGGATCAATTAATGCTTACTGAATAGCAATAAAAATTAGTACCGTGGGTACTGAGCTCACATGGTGACAGAAAAAACGGATATAATTTTTTGCTGATTTTTTGTAACAAAATTATTTCAAGCCACTTGCCACTATTTTGGACTGACTGAGAGACAGATGTTGAGTAAAATGGCTGAAAAAAACTGATATAATTGTTTGCCAATTATTTGTAACAAAATTATTTCATACAACTACTCTTTACAGTGACATGGCTTTTTGCAATGCAAGACACCTGAAATTATTTGTAAAGCTAGGAAATGGGCCAAAATTGAATTTCGCGAGACAAAAATGGCGACCGTTTTTGAAATCAGGCAAGTTTTTGAACCAGGAGTCATAGGGGAGTTTTTTGTATTGATGTTGAACAAAAATAACTTGAAACTGGAATCCTATCGACAGAGGTTTTAAGCAAATGGTCCAAAAGAGGATTTTGCGAGACAGATGGACAAATCAATGTTAACTAAAATGGCTGAAAAAAAAAAACTGTTATAATATTTTGCCGATTTTTTGTAATAAAATCATTTCATACAACTACTCTTCACAGTGACATGGCTTTTTACAATGCAGGACAGCTGAAATTATTTGTAAAGCTAGGAAATGGGCAAAAAGTGAATTTCGCGAAACAAGAATGGCGACCATTTTGAAAATAGGCGAGCTTTTGAACCAAGAGTCATAGGAGAGTTTTTTGTATTGATGTTGAACAAAATTAACTTAAAACGGGAATCCTATCGACAGAGGGTTTAAGGTAAATGGTCCAAAAGTGGATTTTGCGAGACAGATGGACAAATCAATGTTAACTAAAATGGCTGAAAATAAAAAAAATGGGTATAATTTTTCGCTGATTCTTCGTAACAAAATTATTTCATACATCTACTCTTTACATTGACATGGATTTTTACAATGTAGGACACTTGAAATTATTTGTAAAGCTAGGAAATGGGTCAAAAGTGAATTTCGCGAGACAAAAATGGCGGCCATTTTGAAAATAGGTGAGCTTTTGAACCAGGAGTCATAGGGGAGTTTTCTGTATTGATGTTGAACAGAAATAACTTAAAACAGGAATCCTATCGACAGAGGTTTTAAAACGTGCCACTGTTATTGACGGAAAGTGGATTTCGCGAGTCAGATAGACAAATCAATATTAACTAAAATGGCTAAAAATGAAAAAATGAATATAATTTTTCGCTGATTTTTTGTAACAAAATTATTTCATATATCTACCCTTTACATTGACATGCATTTTTACAATGTAGGACACCTGAAATTATTTGTAAAGCTAGGAAATGGGTCAAGACTCAAAAGTGAATTTCACGAGACAAAAGTGACGGCCATTTTGAAAATAGTCGAGCTTTTGAACCAGGAGTCATAGGGAGTTTTCTGTATTGATGTTGAACAGAAATAACTTAAAACAGGAATTCTATCGACAGAGGTTTTAAAACGTGCCACTATTGTTGACGGACAGACAGACGGACGGACGGACAGACAGACAGACGGACAAGTGAGTGATTGCAAAAGCTCACCATGTGAGCTAAAAAACACATCCTCTTAAGCAGGTGTCCAGAATCTGTACCTCCTTCTTCCCCCTGCTATAACCAATTTGGAAGCGCCCGATTAAACTGAATCACGTGATCTAATTATACGCAATGACTTCTACATGATTTCTGTCGCAGTGTTGCGACAGCCAATCAGATTGTGAGTTCTTAATCGGGGAAATGCTAACTGCTTATTGCAGGGGGTAAAAAGAAAGAATATTCTGGATTTTGAAGCCCTGTGATCAGAGGATGTAAAAACAAGACAATGGCAATAACAGTACTTTTTCAAAGTACGATAATACTGAAATATAACATGGAATGAAAAACAAGCAAGGAACAAAGCATACAGACTTAAAGTAAACAATTTAAATTGTCCAAAAATGTCACAAAAGGACACGCTTTATTTAAATTTTAGAGAGTAGCGATATGAAATGTGATTAAAAACAGACAGACGTCAGTCAAATGAGTACAAATGTTGCATGTACCTCACTGGCTCATCCTCGTAATATGTGATACATCTTCTGTCGTTGTTGAAAGGATGCTGTCCTGATGCCTCCCTTTCAAGGTTCATCTCGCCAAGTTCACTCATATTAGCAGTCTGAAATAAATACCGAAATAGTAATTTGCCCCAGGTGCTTTGATTTCCGGTTACTATGGCAACCATTTCTTTAATAATATTTCTGTTATACCAAATATTTTTAATAGATTAATACAACATTCTATACTACATTCCGTGAAAAATTCATCAGAATATATGGAAAAATAAAAAAATTAGAGAGATATTATGAGAATTTTATGATATTCCCTCGTAGTAATTTGCTATATCCTTTTGGAGTTACATGTAGTTCTTGCAAGGGAATCTCATGAATAAATTTAAAGAGAACTTATCCATAATTTTATGATTGGTGCAAGTCACTGAAAAAATGAACTGAGAAAAAATATGTCTTTTAATAATTGACACGGGAGGGGACATGATCATTGGAGGCTCTCACTGTGTCAATAATGAGACTCTACGATTATTTTGTGTCAATAATGAGACTTCTACGATTATTTTGTGTCAATAATGAGACTCTACGATTATTTTGTGTCAATAATGAGACTCTACGATTATTTTGTGTCAATAATGAGACTCTACGATTATTTTGTGTCAATAATGAGACTCTACGATTATTTTGTGTCAATAATGAGGCTCTACGATTATTTTGTGTCAATAATGAGACTCTACGATTATTTTGTGTCAATAATGAGACTCTACGATTATTTTGTGTCAATAATGAGACTCTACGATTATTTTGTGTCAATAATGAGACTCTACGATTATTTACTGCACCACATATAAATGTAAGATGATTCATGCAAAACTTTCATGTTATTTACTGTAAATGTGGGCTGTTATTCTGGAAGGCTACTTTCCTGGAGTTCATCAATAATATAAAGAATTTCTGAATTATGAATTTTTGATATGTACATTCAATTTCAATTTCATTCATATGAGGATGAACCAGAGGCAAATTGCCAAGTTTATCAAAATACTGCTTTATTCAAACCACATATACATTTTTGCAGCATGTTGAATCAATTTTTATTATAACATCAGATGTTTAAGCAGAAATGTTTAACTTACATTATCTGTTAAAATCTGCGCCCAGAAATATCCAGATTGTTCGACATAGGTTACCCATAATTCAAATCTTCCTGGAGGGATGTCATGGACTGTCGTCAGGGGAACTTTGAAACAGGCCAAAATCCTGCTGTATGTTCGGTAGCTCATATTGGCAGGGACAGCTACTCTGGGGGTAGGGGAATTAACCTGAGGGGTGGGAGCAGGGGTCTGTTTTTCCTGATTGACAACGTTCACTTGTCGTGCTGAAAATAATGTAATTGTTATGTAAAAACACTTAATGAATTCCGACAAAAGTGGATCATTAAAGTTTGTCTATGAAGGCTAAATATGAAATTCTGTGTTGTTTTAACACCGAGATTAAGGGCTGACTGACAAAAAATTTTGACAATTAAAACAAGTACGGAGCATTTACTCTCCATTTTAGCCCTATTTGTAACATACATGTAACGTTATCTGAATGTATTTTTACATTTATTACATGAAAATTCATTATTGTAAAAAGACATACCTTTGTCATTAATTGTACACTGCACTTTAATGTCCTTTGGTAATTTGATCTTTGCTTCCTCTGTTTCTATGGGAACGTTGTAATTACGGTTGTTGAAACGAACCTTCAGCTCACGCCCATTAAAGTCGGAGGCATCTAACATTCTAATGGCTGCCGTTGCATCTTCAATGCTCTCCACATAAACAAAACCATACGCACTGGAATATACCAGCAGAGATCAATTGATAAAACTGAGAAGAACAAAAGGTTTAATTAAATTGCAAAGGACGATTCTAGGTTTGGAGAACGAAGTTCATCAATCTAAATGAGCATTATCCCTGCTTCGGACAAATTTGATTTTTTACATAATATAGATTTGAATGTCTTCTTTTGAATAGTCATAATTTGGGTAATATTTTTAGATTTTTCGCAAAAAAAATATTAGCGCAGTACACTGATGAACTTTTTCCCCAAATCGAGACTTGTATTTTATTGAATCGGTCTAATTGAGCGTTATCCCTGCTTCAGACGAATTTGTTATTTTTACATCTTGTAGATTTAAATGTCCTCTTTTGAATATTCATAGTTTAATTTGGGTAATATTTCTATATTTTTCATGAAAAAAAATATTAGCCCAGGAGGCTGTTCTCCAAACTGAGAATCGTCCTTTGCATGTACAGTATGTGTCAAAATTAAAAATTGCCCATGATGGTCCATGCAGATACATATAAGTGTACATGATATCAACAACCCTTTCTCGAGATTTCTTTAGTACTTTAAGGAAGCTCAATACGATAAAGCATTTAAAAAATTAGGTGAAAAATTATGAAGAATAAGGCAATCAAAAATGTCACGAATTCATGTATTAAAGACATTTTGTTTTCCTTGAAGTCACATTTGTAAGTTAGTAGAGGTTGGTACCCATTGTTGTATGTTTATAAGGGATACCAGAGTGCTCCAGCTCTCGAACAATTAATGTTAGATAAAATTCGAGTGGTGGTCGACAATAGTGTACACCAGTAATCTCCCCATTGGTATATAGGTGTATTTTGGCCTCATTTGGTATACATTAGCCCCCAATGTTCATATTTTTGGAATGTTCAACTGACCTTCTCTCTGGACCCCTGCTTTTTATTTCCACTCTTTGGACACCAAATGGTTTAAATTCTTCAAACAATTGCTCCTAAAAAACAAGCATGTCAAGAAAGAATGGAGAAACTGCAGTGATTTTTCCAAGATAACAAATCAATTCAAGATTAAAATTGAGCAACGATTCTTCCTGGCAAATAATCCAATCGAGATGGAATTGAGCAATAATTCTTCCTAAAAAATAATTGACATATCTATAAAAAGAGCAAATTTTCAGCAAAAAAGTTTCAACTTAATCAACAATGACTCGATGTCAACATATCTAGGCAACACGATTACGATTTCAAATTGCAGGTATGACTAATATATGTACATGGGTTACCTCAGTTGTACTATAGGGAAAGTTTCCAACATAAACACCAACAGGACCGTCTACGACAGCTTTGGCTTCCATTGGATTTTTTGATGGCTTAAAGGGATCATAGTTTGAAGCAACTTCTCTGTAGAAGTCTTCATTGGTTGAATCTGAAATGGGAAATCGATATACTCTTGAATCCCATCGCATTTAATAAAGACATACTTCGGAGCTATCAGAGTACAGACCTGAAGCCAGGGGGCGTTTCATGTTTCATTTTTTCATTTGAGCAGCTGAGTTGACGTAGAAGGGTGAGATCATGTCTTCCCAAAATTGTCAAATTTGAGCCCATCTCTGGAATTTTTTGAAAACTGACCCCTTTGGCAAAGGTTGGCTTACGGGCCAAGTGTATAAACATGACAAAATATCAAGCTGGTTGAACACTGAATTGCATAATATAGATGACAAATAAATGAACATTATTTTTTGTGGGAAAATATTTTGAACAACGCAGTGGACAGACCCACACTTAAAAAATCAAAAATGGCTGCCTTTATGCAGATAATCTCCCTTAACATTTCAAATCAATATGTCAAGTGTTTTTATTGGAGATGGGCAGACAAAATATACCACCAAGCTGCCAAAATAATAACTTTACCTTTAAAGAGTGATAACAGCTTTTTTATTCCAAAAAATCAACTTACCAGAACTTTGCCGGATAATATGGCCTTGGTCTGTCCGATTTTGATCATTAATGGTTGGAATGGGTGGTGGAACGTCGTTAATTCTAGCATTGAGCTGGTAACCGGAATTACCCACAATATACCCTTCAAGTTCTTCAACCACAGCTTCAGCCTCAGTGTATGTTTTGAACCGCACAAATGCAAATCTGAAATACAATTTTTCACAATTACATGTACATTCCTGTGACAAAACACACTACTATCATGACAATATAGGCAGGACTCAGCCAAGGGGGTTCACTTTTTGAAAAATTCCAGGGAGGGGTTCACTTGTGCCAATTTTGGTCCAAAAATGACCAAAATCACTTAAAAAGTGCTCAGAATGGTGAAAAACTGCATGATTTTGAAAGATTTTTTGGCCAGGGAAGGTTCGCTCTAATCCATCAAACTCCCTCTGGCTACGGGCCTGGGGTGATAAAAAAAAGTTTGACCAAACTATGGAAAGGGTGAAGCAAATTGATAAAATCTTACTGTGTAGTGATACATTATAATTACCTGTTGTTATAGCCCTTTGACCGCATCACTACTGACAGTGGTATGTCACCAAGAAGATAGCTCAGGTCTTGCTCTGTCATCTCCGGAGGGATGTTGGAGATAAAAACCTCCGTTTCTATAACAACTAAGTGCATTTTATACAAAACATCAAGTTAATATGATTTCTCTTCCTAGATTAAATTATATATCTTATAACCATATCTATATTTGTTTTACATTGTCTTACCTTGGGATAATTATTACTTCTTGTATACTACAGGCCCATAGCCAGGGAATGGGTGGGGGTTCGATGGACCCAATTATTTACCATGAGGTGTTAATTATCCCACACGACCATGCCCAAAGACGCGCACATAGAGTAGATTATTTTACGTTTGTTTTCAATTCTTATAAGAACAATAAATCATGAAGTTAGTCGGATCACAGGCAACCCTCCCCCTGACCAAAAATTCTTACAAAATCATGCAGTTTTCACCATTCTAAGCACTTTTTGAAGTGATTTTGGCCATTTTTGGACCAAAGTTGTCAAAGGAGAACCCCCCCTCAAATTCTTCCAAAAGTGAACCCCGTCTTGGAAATTCCTGGCTACGGGCCTGATACTACATTTTGATGAAGAAAATACAACACGTGTAACTACTTAACACATAAAGGTTAAAATGCTCCGTTACAAAACAGCTAATCATCAATTGCTTCTGTGGCACCCTTTGTAGACTCCTTTTGCCAAAAATTAGTAAAATTTGAATAAAGTAGAATAAATCCTATTTCTGCATGGAAAGATTGCTACCTTCAACCAATGCCATCATAAATCTAGCTAATATATCATAACTTCTGGAATATACAAGGGTTGTTCAGAAAGTTCTCGTAAAATCTCTCCAGGTTTCATACCTTTTAGTTGTCAATGAGTTGGCATGTTGAAATACCACAAGATAATAAGTTTTAGTTAATTTTAGTTTAACAAAAGTTATATCATGCAATGCAACCAGTGAGGAGGTTTTTAGTATCAGTATAGATTCAAAAGTTAGAGTGTGAGTATATCAGTATGGATTTTAGGGTGTATCAGTATAGATTCAAAAGTTAGAGTGTGTATATTTCAGTATGGATTTAAGGGTGAATTTTAGTATAGGAAAACATATTTAGCTATTAGGAACAAATAATTTCCGAAAAATACTGCAAAATGAAAACAAATTGTGATCAATGAATTTTTCACCACTCCGAAGCTTTTATCACCCATAATGCACCTTGATCAGCGTCATCTTGTATATCTTCAACTGGAGAGCGGGCGGCACACGCTAATCCAGGTGGACTATCACCAGCAAGTGGAGGGGGACTTTCAGAACTGCCGAGTAATAGAGAACCATCTACCTTGACTGCTAAATATAACAATAATAAACAAATTAGGTGACATGTCCAGTTAGTTCTATTAATAGGGGATGGGAGGGGTACTTTTTCTTTCTCTTCAATGTTTAACATAAATAATTGTGAATACCATCATGTGGCACCTTATATTCCCACTTGGGGCCTGAGGGTCATAGGCAACCTGTAAAAAATTGATTTAAAAAACAGAGTGAAATGAAAGACTACCTCATTTTCAAGACCTTTTCAAAATATATATTATATTCCTTGTCAGGACTGAAACTTTCAGAAAAGTTGACTGAAAAATCAGATTGTAGCATCTCAACATCACATTGTTTACATTTATTTACTGACAATTTTATCTAAACATGACGTGTTAGTCTATATATAAGTTATAAGATGCATTGATTAACTACACTAGGTAAAACAAGGCATTAACATGCAAAATGTCACCACCTGCCATTTGTTACAGGTGCCAACGGCTGAATGCTGTTACAGATGCTGAACACGAACAGCCAACCAGCAGCCAAAAAAAGTTGGAGACTATAACAATATGTCACCATTTGTGGTATGTCACCATTTGTGATATGTCACCATTTGTGGTGGTGACATAAAAATACAAAGGGACAAATTGGCACTGCATCATATATTTCTGGGTTTATAGAGTATTCGAACATGACTGTATTCACGCCTTCTATAAACTGTGAACAAAGTAAACATTTCACCCGGGGTATATATTTGCAAACAATACCCCTGGTAATACGAGTAATGTGTGATGTCATAATGGCGGGCCGAAGTAATAGCAGACCATAATGAACATTCGAAACATTTATGTGAGTTTTCATGTTCAAAGCATAATATAGACCTCAGAGCAGTTGTAATATCATCTAATACACCCCTTAGGGCTAGGCACAAAAGCTTTCGAATTCGAACCCCTCACTCGCTTCGGTCGTTTCGGGTACAGAAAACATTTGTGCCTAGCCCTGCGGGGAGTATTCAACAATATTACCCCGGTCTATATTTCTTAAATAAAATCAAGTAATTCTATTCCAAAGATTAATCCTGGACATTTTTTAAAATACTGAAACCATCTACACCAGGGGTATTCACCAGACCTCTTAATATCGTGAGCTTGCCTGGCAGTATCCTGGCTAATACACGGGGCTATAGTATAAGTTATTGAATGATTTGAAGTGCAATACAGGATATATTCTGCTTGAGAAATTCTGTATTGGAACAAGATGAAGTCAAGTGCCAACACAGAATATCGAGAGCAGACTATATCCTGTATTGCACTTCAAATCATTCTATAACGTTTGTATCGTATGATCTTAGGCCAATACATTTTACTTAGGAGATACTGTATAAGTGGTATTTAATCCGAGTGGTTAATTTTCCGAATGGTCAAATTTCATCATTTTATTTTAATTTTCCTAATGACAAGAAACCTCCCATTGGATAACATTATAAAGACAATATTTCCGACATTTAATTTTCCGAACCTGGCAAAAATAAGGAAATAAGCAAATTAAATGATTAGGCAAAATTACCACTTATACAGTAATCCCAAGGAAATATTCTGCATTCTCTGGATTGCTACTGAGATTGTCCCCTCTGTAGCAATATTTTCTGTATTGCTCCGGAGATGATCAATGGGGAGAATTTCAGTAGCAATACAGATTGATACAGTACAAGAACTGACCAATCAGAGGGCTTCATTTTACAGATCATGCGATAAATATATGTAGATGTATTATGCTCACGGTATGTTGATGCCTGTTTAGTCTCTGTGTGTACTGCGTAGATTATTAGACATACTGAGTTTGTACACGATTCCTTTATGAATGCAAATACTAGCCAATAGAGAGGATAATATATGCCTCAGTCACATTTGACCTACAGCAATTGTACAGCAGTCGTAGCTTCACAAGATTGAGAGAAATATGCAATGTAGAATTTCTATATCGATTTTATGAAGTTACTGCCACCGTATGCCCACCGCAGAGCAATGTGACCGAGACTTTAGGTTCACATTCTCAAGAGAACTTGTGCATGAATCTGTAGACTTATCGTTCTCTAGGATTTGTTTTCCCCCTGATGGCATTTACTTTTTGAGCATTAAAGGTCCCCGGAAAACCAACTGAGAGGGGGCAGATATTGTTGAAGGGAAGGCCATATATGACATTTTCACATACGAGTTCTCTTAAGAAAATAGGTCGCTTAACTTGCTATAACTAAGGACAACTAATTTGGAAGTAGAAACTCTACTATTAGTAACTCATGCAGAAGGAAACTACATGTATATCACATACATTAAAGAAGTTATATATTATATGTATATGGCTCAGGCAATCAAAGAAACTATGACATATAAATTGGGGAAAGGAGACAGCCTACATTTCATTCAAAAAGCATGATATCATTTTGAGTGAATTTTGAACACCTTAATTCCCTGCCCAAAAAATTAAAAGTATTTTTACCCCTCAAAATCGCAATTGCATAATTATATATACATAATAATTACATAATAAACATGACTTGTGTAGGTTTGACTGTGTAAATATGAACAATTAATTAATTATTAATTAACATATTTGTGTATTTCAAATCTTTACCTTCCTGTGGTATGTGGTGTCCTGATGGTTGCCTTGTCTCTAGGATGGGGGTAGAATACCCTGGGGGTTGTCTTGCCACTGGGATGGGGGCAGAATACCCTGGGGGTTGCCTTGCCACTGGGATGGGGGCAGAATACCCTGGGGGTTGCCTTGTCACTGGGATGGGAACAGAAGTTTCATGCCTGGGGTTGGGGACTTCTTCTCTTTGGGTGGGGACATAGATTCTTTGTGCTACAGTGCCTGAGCCCTTGCAATGGACTTTGAGGCAACGCCCCTGAATTTCGAACCCATCCAAGTCTTGATGAAGTTTACAGGCCTCTTCAAATGATGTACACTCAACAAAAGCAAAACTGTAAAAAAATATATATTACAGGGTGTCAAATAAATATGTTCTCAACCTTATTTCCAAAAGTATGAACTTTGTGAATAAAAGTGCATATATATACAAATAGATGGCATTGTACTTAATTTTACTTGATAATGAGGCAATGGACACTAATACAGGCCCGTAGCCAGGATTTGCCAAAGGGGTGTTCAGTTTTCAAAATATTCCGGGGGGGTTCACATTTGACAATTTTGGCCCAAATAAGGCTAAAATCACTTGAGAAGTGCTCAAAATGGTGAAAAACTGCATGATTTTGAAAGAATTTTTGGCCAGGGGTTGGGGGGGGGGGTTCGCCCGAACCATGCAAACCCCCCTGGCTACGGGTATACGGGTATGCTAATATAACCTTGTAATTATGAAATAGAAAGCAAGATATTAAAAACATGAAGATGTATCTACATGTATTGTATATGATCAAGTAAAATAAAAGAAGAAAAATGATCTAATCTCATTCATTTAAAAGAAAGTCACAAATATATTTTGAACTCACACAACAAAAACTCACCATTTTATGTCTTTTTTAAAGAATCGTACTTCCACAATACTTGTGCGGTAATCTTTGAGAATTTCCAACAGATCTTCTTTTTGCAATGATGAAGGTATATTTCCAATGAATACCTCAGAATCTAAAAATTTTGAAACTCTTGTAGAGATAATGTTTTGAAATTTGCATTGTTATATAGTAGTTTCAAAGAACATTCAATTACCAGTTTCAGCAGACTGTGCCTTATGATATTGCTAAATAACCTAAATTAGCGTAGTAATAAATTTCTTTATAAAACCATTTTCTCTAATTGTTGTTGTTGTTGTTTACCATCAATGAAGGTCATAAGAAGAAGATTATCCAGAAACCCCTCCTTGAAGGAGCCCTGTTTTTTTATGTGCACATATACATAGACATACACGTACACACCACCCTTTTGTACGAGTTCTGGACCACTAAGTCAAACACCCTGAAGTACTTTACGCAAAAAAGCAAATTAAGTCTTGCCTGAGCCGGGAATTGAATCCGGGACATATTGCGTAAGAGATACCTGGTTACAGAGATTATAGATGCCGAATGCAACACCAACCACCAAATGCCAAACACCAACTGCTGAACACTGTCTAGAAAACAGATGGAGACTATAACAATGTTGTTCGTTAACTTGAATTAAACATATACATACCATTTTGGTTGGAGTCATTATATTGTGTTGTCCCTCCACTAGCCCCACCCCCTAGAGCCCCACCCCCTCTATTATCATTATGACCCTCAGGGGTGGCTGATCTGTCGGATGACTCACTAGTATGGCTAATCCTACTTGATGCGCCATTCATAGCACTTTTTGTTTCATAAGTCTCACGTGGCTGTTGGTTATAACTCTTACTACTAAAATCCATAGTTTTATCACTTTCTCGGTGAAGTCTATTTACACTAGAAATGTCCCCTAATGCTGAAGCGCCACCTATTTGAATGTTTTGTTGAAAATCTCTTCTAGTTTCATTGTCAAGTCTTTCAACTCTAAGTACTGAAGCACCACCTATTGGATTTTGTTGTTGAAAATCTCTTCTATTTTCATTGTCATGTCTTTCTTCTCTATTGCGATTGTTGTTTACATTTTGTGATGTTTGACCAGATCGACTATGCTCTTCTGGGATTCTAACGTCATGAGAATCTTTCATATTTTCATAAGCTTTTATTGCATCATCCCTTCTGCCAAATCGTACAAATACAAACCTGTAATGAAGGAACATTTTGCATGGAGGTCAAAGCAGGTCAAGGTCATGATTAAAGGTCAAGGTCATCTTCAAATTCATATAGACTATATTCATTTGAAAGGTCTATGATGATTTTAGGATAAGGTCATGCCAAAATAGCATGTCAACTTGAAAGTTCAATATAAGATAATTTGAATATCAAGCTCAAGTTTGTGACCCTTATCTATAATGACATGTAGGTCACTTAAGTTCATATTTTGAAAAAATGTTAATTTAACTGTCAATATGTATTTGGATATCTCATGTCTTGGTATATCTTATATGAAGGCATAAATTTGGATTTGTCATCAATCAAATAATACTCCGTCTGCTTATGATTTTTTTTACAATTTCTCTCAAGAATTTGAATGAACTGTGTAATTTTTCTGCATTTCTATACAATTTAGATTGTTCACTACATGTCTGTATATTTTAGTCCTTGCTTATTCCTTTTTTTCCATAAATTATGCATTTTAAAACATGGCTGTTTTGGAGATTCCTCTCCAGGAAAATAATCTGAACCCTACAGTACCTGCTACTTTCATGAGTTTCTGCAACTCTCCCATAATTTCTGAATTGTCTGAACAGGTCATCTTTGCTGCATGTTAGATCGTCCTTGGCAACACAGAGTGAGTAGAGCCCTTTAGCATTTGATTTTAAGTCAGGGTATGAACCGCCGTCTGAATCTGACTGATTTCTTGATCCCCATGCTGAAAATATATGTAAGAATGTAGTCTGTCACGTCACATGTGTGGTACGTCATGTCACATGTGTGGTACGTCATGTCACATATGTGGTGTGCCATGTCAGTTACTCTGTCTTGTATCTCGATTATGATCTGAAATAAAAATAGGACAGCGTATGGCGTGCCATACATGTGGTGTGTCATGTCACATATGTGGTGTGTCATGTCATTTACTCTGTCTTGCCTCTCGATCATGATCTGAAATAAAAATAGGACAGCGTATGGCATGCCATACATGTGGTGTGTCATGTCACATATGTGGTGTGTCATGTCATTTACTCTGTCTTGCCTCTCGATCATGATCTGAAAAAAGCGACACTGTGTGGTGTGTCATGTCACATTTATGTGGTGTGTCATGTCATTTACTCTATCTAGTCTTCCAAACAGGATCTGAAAGAATAGGACATGTGGTGTATCAATTACATATACAATTACATACTTATCGACATCCAAAATGTTATCCTACATTGATTTATAGATATAATTGTCTCTTCATGATCTAAATCTTCAATATGAATAACACAGAAGGATCCTAGAGCAAAACATTGCATAACTTATTTACCTCATTACAAAATAAATAAACTTTTTTTTTTACAACTGTTACATATAAATAAGGCATTATAGCTACGTACTGTAATCATAGAAACCCAAAACAATTAGTAACATGCCTTAAGTTATTCACCAGGCATATATTCAATTTAACATTAAGCAAATTTGGTAAGGAATCAAATAGCATATAAGTAGCTAGGCACAAGGCAGGCTAGGTAATGGAAACTACAAAAATGAGGTCTAATTCAATAACTCAGATGCGAGAAGGTAGTTACCAGTTTCATCACCAGGTGGCTCTATTGGTTCGACTTTTATATCACCCTTATGTATCTAATAGTTATGCAAATCAAAATATGTCCATTAAAGGAAAATAATGTTATCTGTCCAATACAACAAAAGATATATCACGTTTTGTGATCTTATAACATGGGGTCTATGGGGAATCTCCCCGAACTAGAACTCACATTTCTACTTTTACATGTAGATTTCAAATATGACATCACTTTGACTGAATTTTGAATATTTAATGACCTAAGTCAAGAGAATTTCTACTAGGATCTAGTCTATTGCTATTTTTTGCCTTACCTCTTTGGCTTATTAAAAATGCTTATTAAAAATTTTTAGATCCTGACTAATCTTTGAAAAAAAAACTGACTAGATAAAGTTCCACTAAAAAGCATTTTATACACTATATGCAGAAAATGGTAAAATCAAGCAGGTGTTCATACAGGGGTTTCATTAGCAGCAGGCAACAGGCAAATTTCAATTTCATCAGTTGTTTTCACAAAAACGCCTGTTGTTTTTAAGTACTTTTCAACTTTTTCATGTTAAATTTGATTTCCATTAATTTTGCCTGTTGTTTTAATTTATTTAGCCTGTTGTAAGGAATTCTAGTGAAACCCCTGTCATATTATTTAGAGAGGAAAGGACTGCAATTAGCAAGGAATCAAGTAAACAGGCATGAAGGGGACAATCTAAATTATATAGAAATGGCAGAAAAGTAGACACACCATTCAAGTTTAGAGAGAAATGTGAAGAATAAGGAAGGGGATTGCATTTCTGTCATTTTTGCTTTGCAGCTTAAATTCGGAAAAATCACCAAAATGGGGAAAATCACCAAAATGGGGAAAATCATCAAAATGGGGAAAATCACCAAAATGAGTAAAATCACCAAAATGGGGAAAATCACCAAAAATGGGGTAAATCACCAAAATGGGGAAAATCACCAAAATGGAGTTTTCTACATGTAATCAAATTTATTTACTTACCATTTTCATTATTTCTTCGCCTGTTCCCTTTTGAGGAATGAAAATGAAATTAATTATATAATTCTTACAAGAAACTAAATGTTTAAAATAATTACATGTGCATGGACAATGTTACTACAAAGGTTCACATAACATTCATGGGTAGGCCAAGAAAATTCTTGTTTCAAGTAACAAAGATTTCAGTCGACTTGTCAAATTGTTTTACTTCTAAGTAACAAACGTAACAAAAGGCTTTGGTTACATTTTGTTACGTAGAAGTAAAACAATTTGACAAATCGACTTTAATCTTATAACAAACATTTCAAATATTAATTAGAAATTTAGAGCTTATTAGAGAAAATACGGCAAAACAACATTTTCATTGTCACTATCACTTCATTTGCCCCCTCCCCATGATAATATTGCTGATAATTGGACACCATTTTTCAGAGAAACAGTTTCAAAAGTACATTATTGAGTAAATCCGATAAAAATAAAGAGTAAACAATAAACAAAATAATATTGTAATTATAAATAGTCTAACATGCATTTCTGACACCATTTCATGAATATCTGACATCATGACATGCATTTATGACATCATGACATATATTCCTGACATCATGACATGCATCTATGACATCATGAGATATATCTCAAACAATATAAGATGTATTTCTGACATCATGGCTTGCATGTCTGACATCATTTCATGCACTTCAGATATCAAGACATACATTTTTGACACCATGCACTTCAGATATCATAATATGCATTTCATTAAATGAAATAAGAGAAGGCATTACAAAGTGTCACCACCTGCCATTTGTTATAGACACCAACCGCAAATGCCAACTACCAAACACTGTCCACAAAAAGTTGGAGACTGTAACAATATGTCACAACTTCTGGTGGTGACATAAAAAAAAAAAAAACTATCTACATTTAAATATTTAAACTAACAGTATTTAAGAAATCATACTTTCTCACCTCTTTGTCGACCTTTACTGGCTATTTTTGTCTGAGCCTGTATCTGAGCAGGCGTCATATAAGACTCTTCATCCCCGATGCCAAAGAATATACTCTCTTTTTCCGTCGCAGAATATGAAATCCTATGAAAAAGTGAAATATGTAAAATGACGTTGAAGATTTTATCCTTGTTGACACTTAAAACTACTGTATGTCGAAGCAAGTTTGACAAAAATGGGTCTAATATAAAGCATGTCTCTTCATTTCCTGTTTTTAAGTAAACTCAACACCTTGTTGAAATCAGAAAATGACATAGCACCGTAATTGCACCCAGACAAAAATTTGTGAGTTATTCCTATGCTGAAAAATCTTCTATTTTGTTATGATTTCATCATGGACTTCAGCAATCTCTGAGATCTATGATGATAAAATGCAAAATAGAAATTCTACATCCCCGTCTTTGGAGTAAATTAGTGATTAGGAAAAAATAGTGATTAATCAATGAAAATATATGTTTTTGCCTCGCCTGAAGTTTATCATACTTACAACAACAGGTTGTAAATGATATTAAGATGACCTTAAAGAGATCGGGTCATTATAAAAATGTAATAATAAGAATATGGAGAATCTTTAATGTTGGCAATTTCAAGTTATTCTTTTATGAATTTATTTTGTTACCTGATTACATCGGGAATGGAGATAGCCAAATCAATGAAGCGCTGAAAGCCAAATTCTCTCCATGGTATCATTTTCCCATTTAAAGATTGATAGTCTTTGATGAGTTTTCTCTCTGTGAGTCCCCCAGAAGATAGTAGGACTGCCCTTAGCTCCCTTTTCAGACTCTCGGGAACTTCCGCCATATCACCTTACAGTATGGTTTATAAATCTGGAAATAAAAGTTTTTAGTTTTTATGGTTCCTTCATTTAAACAATATTAATAGTCAGCATAAACAGGGCCTAAGCCAAAGCATTATTGGCCCTGTGGGTAACAACATTTGAATTTACATAAAAGATGGCTCTCCTGTTTGGAAATAAAAGGGATGGGCATTCCTTGAAAATATTGAGCATTCTTGTACAATCAAATGTCAAGCCTGATTGGGCGTTGTAAGTGAGTGGAAATTCAGGCAATAGACAAATTTGCGATAGAACACATGGTCATTAACATAAATATCTCCCACAATGCATCACGTCAAGAATTACAAATTTTCATTGATCTGGCAAATGGTCGTTATTAAGAAGACAATGTTTGGGAGGTGTAGTAATGAAGATTCACACATAGCTAGGAAAGGTGTGTCGGAATCCAGCCAATCCGAACACAGTATTTCAACTTAGTACATGAAATAACCAATGACACATTTGTTGTAAGGTTGTCCTCATGGTGAGAACTAAACTCCCTAATTGAAATTGATGCTTCGCCAGTTTGACCCTTGCAAAATGTTTCATTGAAAATGTTCTTTTGGTGATCTTTTATTTACAATGTGTGAAAAGAATTTAAGCCCAAGACTCAATGCACTGTGGAATGACCATTCCTTTCAGGCCTTGTTTCCTAATATGAACACTTGATGCAAAAGCATCTCATGCAAATTTTGGAAAGCAACATCTTCAAGGAAAATTCATTTCATGTTGAACTGAGTCAAGGCTTATAAGCTTTATAAACTCAACTTAAAGAAGTGAATCAACAAACTAAAAGTAAATACATGCAGATAAACTTTATTAAATTGGTCTGGTCCATTATAATATAGAGGGATGATAGGGTTGTAAATTCTTAAAGACCCCATGTAAAGTTTGAAAATATGATTCTATCATTTATTAACATTTTTCATGACTTTAATTTTAGAATTTTTGAGAAAAGAATATTTTGAAAAAAGCTATCAGCTTTTCATTTCTCAAATATTCAAATTTCCTGCCCTTTTGAAATTTTTTAACTATCAAATATTCAACTATTACAGTGTAGAACACATTATCTTTTCAATAAGATTGAAAAAGGACACACATATATTTGAATAATAAAAAAATAGTATATCTAATGTGCCACTTTTAACTTAAATCACAAATTGTTAAAGTCTCAGCTTACAGTATCAATAATTATCAACTACAAATTGACAGAGACTCCTTTTTGGAGAATGTTTCCTCATACAATCATTAATCAATTGTAAAATTCATTTAAAATAGTTTAGCTTGAAACCTGAACACCCTGAACATCAGTGTTGGTATATTTACATGATCCACAGCAGAGTAACATCCAGTATCAATTTCTAGATACAGAGCATGTTTATGTCTCTGAGACTACAGCTGGTAACCATATGAAGTCTGTTATGCTGAAGTTATACTGTAGTAGTAGATATGTCTCCTTATAATTAATAGGTATCTTGTAGAAAACTAATTTTCATATCTATGTCAGGTTCATGGAATTTCACACTTGTTCTGTTTCATCAATTAAAAATAATGAATTCCACATGTTTCTGATATCATGCTTGTAATTAGTTGGTTATATAATAAATCTTCCATGTGAATCAGTTCAGTCTGGTAGAATAGGGGTTGAAAGTTTGTTTCTCTACATTTATTGTTAGTATAGTTACACTGCTCTACAAAATGAAATGAAACCATGTAATTGAGACATCTTCTATATGTTGAGCAATTTTTCTGCTGATTCAGCAAATTTTGACATATTTGGGACGATATAGTATATTTTAATATATATTAACAGGTTAGCACCCTCAGAATAAATATCAGTCAAATACACATTCATGTAATATGTCAAATACATGAAAACTTATTTCTTGTTTCATATCGAGTGTGAAGGTCTCAGATTCCGGGAATAAAGCCAGTGACATTGAGGTTATTCACCCGGTTATTCATTTCACGCTAATTATCATATTCAAAAGATATTCATGAAAAAGCCTGTAAAAAATTGTGTAATAACTAGAGGATATCCTATGATTTATGAGTGATATGATTTTTATCCACAAATGGATATGATATCTGCACTGATTACAAAAATATTGTTTTTATTTTGACATGTTATCCTATGAATATCATGCTAACTATGGAATAAGTATACATATTTTCATGTATTTTGAAAATATACCACATGTAAAGAAAATTGTTAAATAGAGCTGAAATACAGTATTGCGTTCAAAAATCATACCCTGTATATTCCAATCGGAAAGAACCCGGATATAATGTTATCTGAACCCAAATTGAGATCTCTTCAATACCGGAGATAAGGATATAGTTGTTATAACTATTGTGGACTATAATGTCTCATCAAATTTCTCTTACTTGGCAGGTCTTATTGACACACGTCGTAGCCAGGCAGGGAGAATCCCTGGCCAAAAGTTCTTTCAAAATCATGCAGTTTTCACCATTCTAAGCATTTTTCAAGTGGTTTTGGGCCAAAGCAGTCAAATATAAACCCTCCCCCCCTTAGAATATTTTGAAAAGCTAACTCCTTTCCATTTGGCAAAAGCTGCATACTGTATACTGTAACTGATATTATCATCATCTTAATGTGAAATTCTTGACCTGGGTCATAATGTACTGGGAAATAATTCCCAAAGTTGATGGTGGACATTTCGAAATACTGGCTATTGGCGTAACGCTATTTTTATGAGAAGTACGCCACTGCGGGAACGGTGTATTTTCAGCCATCTGGTACACCTGTGCAGACAGGCTAAATAAATGAAAACAACAGGCGAAATTAATGCAAATCATAAAGGACGATTCTCGGTTTGGAGAACGAACTTCATCAATCTAAATGAGCATTATCCCTGCTTCGGACAAATTTGATTTTTTTACATAATATAGATTTGAATGTCTTCTCTTGAATAGTCATAATTTAATTTGGGTAATATTTCTAGATTTTTCACAAAAAAATATTAGCGTAGTGCACTGATGAACTTCTTTCCCTAAATCGAGACTTGTATTTTATTGAATCGGTCTATTTGAGCGTTATCCCTGCTTCGGACCAATTTGTTATTTTTACATCTTGTAGATTTAAATGTCCTCTTTTGAATATTCATAGTTTAATTTGGGTAATATTTCTATATTTTTCATGAAAAAAATTGTTAGCCCAGGAGACTGTTCTCCAAACCGAGAATCGTCCTTTAACATGTTAAAAAGTCCCTAAAAACAACAGGCGATTTTGTGAAAACAACCTCCAGTGAAAATCACCTGTTGCCTGCTGCTAATGAAACCCCTGCATGATGTGCATGGGCACCTTAGGTATTTTCCAAAAGATTTTCAGGTGGTGGAATAGTTCTTCTAATGTGATTTGTGCAGTGACTTTAGCGAGTTAAAACAAACCTAGACGTATGAGTAAGGGGTGAAACGAATACTCAAGTATTCGGTTGCAAATAGGTCTGAGGTGATATTCGAATGGCACTTTGTGGTATTCGAATATTAAACGATTGACTGCGCATGCGCGCCGATTTAGTCTCCCGCCAAGACAAACCCAATTCTAATGCAATCGCGATATAGATTCCACGGTTACTCACCTAAGAGTCATCTGCAGCTCTTACTTGTAACCTCTGAGCACTGCTGATTAATCCAGTGGCATCCATAAGAGCAAAATGCTTGAATATAAAGTTACATGTAGGAACATTCGTTTGTACGAGAGGCAATCTGCGCTAGGTTCGTTTTTAGGTTCGGTTTTTAGAGCATTCGCTTGGAATAAGTATTTATAATCATTCATAACACTTCAGGGTTCGTACACCTTTTTCAAAATGAATTTCCCTGACATTTCCCTAACATTTCCGGGCATAAAATGAAATTTCCAGATCTAGTTTTTCTTGCACGGCCTCTAAAAAGTCTCAAACAACTGTATTATTTAAAAGACGAGACTTATAATGAAACATTTTAGGTTTGTCCTTTAGTACCATTTCTCATGACTCAGCTTTACTTCTTCAGACCGTCTATTCACCAATTTATTCCTGATACATGATATTATTAATTTTACATATTTACGAAGGTATACATACATGTACAGGGGCATAGTCAGCAAGTGTCAAGGGGGTGCATATTTGGGGGTTGCATCACTGCGAGTGAAGGAAACCCAAAGGGGGGTACAGGGGTTCACCCCCGGAAATTTTTCAAAATTGACAATTGTACATGGTGCATTCTTAGCATTTCAAACTATAATTTGTTAATGTTTTATAATGAATCCCAATAAAAACTGAAACTTAAAAATGTTGACCTAAAGAAAAAATAGCACCTCCCTTGAGGGGCAATTCCTACCTAATGAAACATATTTATTGAATACTATCATTGTGAACATTATATGAAAAGTGGTAAGTGTCTTCTTGAGCAGAGGCAGCAACAAAAGCATCGGTATATAAAATTTTAACCAAATCTGCCAACTGATATTTGAGTTAGATAAATAGACTGAATACGACTGGACTGTCAAACAGATAGCTCCTTAATATAAATACAATTTTAAACTGTAAAAAGTTCCCTAAATTTTTTGTTTTTAACCCCTCAACAAACCATGAAACATATACCAGTAATTAACTTTGAATGGCCTAAGACTAACTTACTACATAGAAAAGCATAATTGTATTGAACCATCTATACAATGTGTATAAAAAAAATGCAACGGATTGTTATCTCGGAAAAGCACAAGACCAGTGATAACAGCATTGATTTCATTCAATGCACCATTAAGCAATGTGTCTCCACTTTACAATGATATATCATTCATTGATATCTGGTCATGGTTGGGCGAGTTATCATTCCATTTGCAAAGTGGACCAAAATTAGCTTAGGACCAAGTTATAAACATTTCATTCAATGTACCAAAAAGCCAAATTACTCCTCTTTGCAATGGAATATCATCCATTCACAGGGAGTCATGGCTGGCCGAATAATCATTAATTTTGCAAAGTGGGTCAAAATTCAGCTCGGACCCAAGTTTGAAACATTGCAAAAGACAGTACAAGGGGCATAGGGGCTATTGGAAGAAGGTGTGGCATAGACAGTAAAGTGTTCATACTCATACTCTTGCAAGAATACATCCTACCCCTCCAAATTGCCACCACTTCCTTGCACATAAAGATGCGCTCATCTGTCCACGTCATGCATGGTTTAGCCCTGAGTCATCTGTGGGTTACAGCAGGGAAAAGGAGCCCATGGGCAATTCTTTCTCGAGGTTTTGCAATATCTGGTGGATGAATTGTGAGCAAATATGCTCCTGAGATAGCTCCAAAAGAAAAAAGTCACAACAATTCAAGTCAGGGGAACTTCCATTGGCACTTAGCCCTTGCAATGATTTTTGCAATATCTAAAACTTGGTCCAGAGCCGATTTTGACCCACTGTGCAAATGGAAGGATTTCTCACACAACCATTACCACATGTGAATGAATGACATATCATTGCAAAGAGGAGAGACGTGGCTTTATGGTACATTGAATGAAATTGATGAAGTCATCACTAGTTTTGTGATTTTACGAGGTAACTACTTGTTGCACTTTTTTTTGATACGCCCTGTACATATTATTTATTGTTCGGTTTCAGTATAATGTTCACACTGTTCTTACAAATAGACAAAACCAGATTTAATGTCATTCAATCAACCCTAATGAAAAGATTTGCAATTTGTGGAAACAACTAAATGTTCGATTTTGGATTTTATTGATATCCTATCATAGCCTTAAAATGTATTAAAAATATTAAAATGCTGGAACATTATTTTTTCAACAATGATACAAAATTCCCTGACATTTCCCTGACACATCTACTGTTTCAAAATTCCCTGACATTTTTGGCCCTTTCTGACCCAATTTTGAAATTCCCTGACATTTCCAGGTGTGTACGAACCCTGCACTTACTCGAGTCTCTAGCCAATACTTGGCTAGAGGGGATTTCATCTGGATTACTGTGAACTCCATTTGAAAAAAGCTGGCCGTCGTGTTTTACTGTGAACTCCATTTGAAAAAAGCTGGCCGTCGTGTCATAAATTTATTGAATATTTTAAAAATCGCCAGATAAATAAATCATTAATCAAAACGGATCCCGCTTGGCTCCTTGATGAGATATGACATTATTTCATCAGGATTTCTTCTAAAATTAAAACAAAATGACTCCAAGAAAAATGGCGATGTTCGAAAACTGACATTAGTAACTGGCTGTAAATTCTAAGTTAGCGATCCAGAAGATGTAAACTAATACACTGATCACTTTATGTGTGTTTTGGAATTTTTGGTGAGGTAATAAGACCAAAACTCGCAATTCAAATTGTGATGTGGAAAAATGGCGGACATTATGATTTCAAATTTTATGATTACGACATGACCAGTTGTTCATGCAGGAATAGATCTTTACTGGAAGGCCACGATACAGTGGCCTTAGAAGAAGGTAACATAACACAACTGTTGCATTGTCTTATCGTCGTTGGCGTATTTAATTCACATGCTCTTAGAAATCAAACAACTTATATTTACTTCCTGGTTTTAAACGAATATTTGGGGCCGAACGGGGATTTGCTGGCCAAATATTCTGTATGAGAATTTACTATTTGTTTCAGCTAGTGTTGTCGCGATGTGCCATAATCGTACATCGATGCATCGGCAATTTTCAGTAGTAAACATCGATGCACATCGCGATGTACATCGAGAAAAAGTCCGAGAAAAGTGCACTGAAATACCGAACGCTAATGCACTAAAATACCGAACAGAACAAATTAATAAGAGTACGCTGGTACATCCGGGAACTTCTAGTAACGGTGAAATGAAAGTAAAGTAATTTTTTTTAGATTAATGGTTCATTTCGACTAGCTAAAACAGTTTTAAAGCGAAAGAATATAAGAAAACACTGGAAAATGAAATAAGACATGAGAAAGGTAAGCGATTTGCATCAAAATTAGATAAGAAAGGGTGATTTTTAGCAAATTAATTTTTTTTTAAACGGAGTGGCTCCAGGACCGACAATTGTCGGTACTGGAGACTGTCCAGGGGTATTTGCTGGGGTACCGACAATTGTCGGCACTCTATCGTCACCTAGTAGTGTCAGATAGAGAACCGACAATTGTCGGTACGCAAGTGGCTGCTACGTGTTTTTGCTAGAGAGCCGACAATTTCTTAAATAAATCCACTACTTTTATTTCAGATATAACCTCATCACTGGTAGTCTAGTGGTTAGCGAGCACGACTCAAACACACTCTGTCCCGAGTTCGAATCCCGGGAGGACCTACTTTTTTCTTTTGAGGGGGGGGCATAGTGCTTCTTTTGCAGTATGGAATCGTACAGGCATTAACTTGTAGTGAGCCATAATTTATTTCGACAAAAATTGCTTCAACTTCCAACAAAATTGTCCTACAAGCTTCAATTAAAAAACATTTTAAAGCTCTTTTCTTGTTCTATCTAATGGGTCGATATATACAATTAGGGGAGGGGATGCTTTCGCCCCCGTCGACCTCTACCCTTACTACGCCATGGCTCAGGAGAAATATCTCATTTGGAATATATCCTGTTTACTTTGCGTTTGGTAGCTCTCTCATGCGAGATGGAATCGTGGCCATTAACTAAGGGAGCCAAATGCAACTTCCATCAAAAATTGTGCTATAAGGTATGAGTACCGTAATCCAACACCAAATTCGAAAATTCATAACAATACTTTGCACATATGGCGTTCGTGACCAACTATGAAACGCTTACCCCCATAGTGTTATATATAAAAATGCACCTGTCCATATAGGGGTTCGATTGACCTACATCAAATTATAGGGAGTCAGGTTACTTTTTGAGATATCAGCGTCCGTTTATTGTAACTCGCGTTTGCTACCACTTCCTCAATTCTGATATGACTGGCAAACGCGTAGTAAACATGCTCACGTTCGGAACTATTTTGACCTACATCGCTAGGTCAAATGAAAGTTGAACTCCTCTTTATTTTGATACCAAATAGTGGCATACTAGGTACCATAGAAGCCAACTGTGGGTTATTTAGAACGATACCACAGGTTTTTAAATGGACTATATACCTTTTGGCGGATGGATATGGAACCTCATACCATACCATAAGCTTCAAATAAAAAACATTCTAGAAAAAATTTCTTCTATTTTCTTCTATCTAATGGGTAGCAAACGCCCTTTTCTACGCCTGATCGGCTCAGGAGAAATATCCTGTCTGTTTAGAATATATATAGCCGTTTACTCTGCATTAATAGCTCTCTAACGTCTTACTTGTTCATGTTTTTTTATTGGGTTTCAACGTTTACTACCATTCCCTGTTCCCGGGCTACCATTTTTGACTGGGTTTGGTAATCCCCGGGTAACTGGGGCTAATACCCTCCCCGGGTTTTGCACTTGTTCCCAAAATATCCGTATGATATCTGAAATATCCCCCCGCGCATAGCGCATGCGCCAGAAAATTCGAAAATCAATATTTGTCGGTCCTCTAGAGTGTAAAAACAGCATATCTCCCGTACCGACAATTTATTTGTCGGTCCTCTAGCGTGCCACCACATCAGAGTCTAGAGTACCGACAATTGTCGGTACTCTAGCCTTTACGTTTTTTAAAACATCGATGTTTTGTTTCAGACATCGATGCATCGCCAGAATCAGCTTTGGCGATGTATATCGTGATGTATCGATTAATCGCGACAACACTAGTTTCAGCCCTTGTATGAGTTGGATTTTGAATTGAAGTGAAATTCAAATTGAAAAAATGAAATGAAAGTCCAATCAAAACCAAAGATTCACCCAAAGAGTAACAATCTACTGTAGTGCTACATTAAAACGATGCTCAATTTATCCACAAATTAGTATGCAAAGGAATGCAAATCAATATTATCATCTAACAAGTAACAACACAAAATAACAAAATCAAAATATTTACCTATTTCAAAGCATGGGCCGACAGATGTCGTTTTTAAATCCCGCGCCATGTGAAGGCGAGATTTTAGGCGAGATTTGAAAAACCGCGAACTTAAAAATTTCAATTTCTTTTTAAAAAATGCTTGCCAAGAAGAGAAAATGTGTTCCAAGCTCCGAAACAAATGGCTCAAATAATTCTTCTGAATCTAAAGGTTTTGTAGAAGGTTCAATTGTAAGGATCAGACTAGAGAACTTTGTGTGAGTATTGTTTGAAAAATATTGTACTTTTGCTTTTCACTTTTTTTTCAAAAACTGCAGATTGCCCCTACTTCAAAAAATGTGAGATCACCTCTGTCTTTTCACTGTAAAAAAAGTTTCCCTGGGACATAGGTGCTGGCCAAATACACAGCGTCTTGTGGCAATTACTCAGATGCGAGTAGGTAGTTACAAGTTTCGCCACCAGGTGGCTGATTCGGGGGAAATAACATGGCAGGGTATTACAAAATTACCTTGAACTTGAATATTCATCAGTTTTATTGGTTCACTTTTCATATTACCCTTTTGTATCTGATAGTTATACAAATTAAAATATGCCCAGTAAAAGAAAATATTATCTGCCCAACACAAGAAAAGATATTTCACTTTTTGTGATTTTACGACATGGGCTCTATGGGGAATCTCCCCAACCTAGAAGTTACATTTTCAAAGAAAATTTAATTTTCAAAGTTGATAAACTCTTTTCAAAACCACATTTCTAGATGTAATTCTACATGTAGATTCTAAATATGACATCAGTTTGACTGAATTTTGAATTTTTAATGACGTAAATCAAGATAATATCTACTCGCATCTAATCAATTAAAATAATCTTTGTCATAGTAAAAGTTAAATTATAGCATCCATCAAAGATTCACTTGACAACATGTTTTTGTGGTAAAATTATTATTATAACAGTTAGACTCTTCATTTCAGTACTTATGATTCCCTAGAAAGCTACCCAGGACCCGGTTTAAATGTAATTATTGGCCCTAATGGAACTGGCAAGAGTACAATAGTATGTGCAATATGCCTTGGACTAGCTGGTAAGCCTGCTGTCCTTGGAAGACAAACTCATGTCTCGGAATTTATCAAGCACGGGTGTGAGAGAGCTGAAATTGAAATAGAATTGTAAGTATTAAACATCATCTTCATTAACTCAGCTCCCGTCGTTCGATAAACGCAGTGAAGACCGAACGTGCGAAGATGATTGAACATACTAAAATCCTTATTTACGCAATCAGGTGTCCATGATTTCAAGAACTCCACAGTTTTTTTTCTTAAAGGTGCGCAAAATCTGAATCTATGAATTCTATGCAATAAATTTTTTGAAGTGAAATCATTTTTGAATCATTTCAATGGAGTTTAATCTTCGGTCTGTTTTTCAATATTTGTTTATTAAGTATATTTGTCAACAGATAATAGAAAAATACCAATTTTGTGAGTAAATGCAGCTGAGAATATGCCATGCAAAAATGACAAAAATGTTTACAAAATGCCTGTTGATTTAGGTTTGACCCCAAGGGACATAATAAAACTATAAAACGTGAGATTCGACAGAATGGATCTAACTGGTTTGTCAACAATGGGCCAACAACACAAAAAGCAGTGAGTAGAATCTGAAGTGTAGTATCTAAAATTAAACTGTAGAGAATAATCAAAATATTTCTTGTGAATCATTCAATCCTTAACAATAAGCAAAGATCCAATATCATAATATGGAAACTAGTTCATTCATTTGGGTCAAATTGCGATTCCTTGTTCCAATCTCTGGGAAATAGGTCAAGATACAAAAGTAGGTCAAAATGCAAAAGTAGGTCAAAATGCAAAAATAGGTCAAGATGCAAAAGTAGGTCAAGATACAAAAGTAGGTCAAAATGCAAAAGTAGGTCAAAATGCTAAAGTAGGTCAAGATCCAAAAGTAGGTCAAAATGCAAAAGTAAGTCAAATTAGAAATATATGATGGATAGAATAGCCCATCGTGACATGATATCATTGAATGAATTACATTGCTAAATTTGGGAAATCAAACTAATCCTACTATTTCTTATTTTCTTCTCAAATCATTATTTTTCTTACCACATACCTGATTATCTTTGTAGGTTGAAGCTTTGATAGCTGGACTGAACATCCAAGTGAACAATCTCTGCCAGTTTCTTCCGCAGGATAAAGTTGCCGATTTTGCCAAAATGACCAAAGAAAAGTTACTTGAAAGTACAGAACAAGCAGTGAGTATATTACTTCTCATCTTCGCTAATTCAATTTGGTAAATGAGTAATGATTTGTTTGTAAGAAGGACATTATGAGGTCATATCGGGTTTATAAATGACCAATGGGAACGAGTGAATATATCATATACTCACAAGATAATAACGAAATACAGAATCAATCATATGATCTTGTTATCCCACCCTATATGATAATCAATAAAAATCTAAATTGAGCAGTTGTATATCAAGTCGGAGAGTTGTATACGCTGCCCAGTAGTTGTATACGCTATCCAGGAGTTGTATATCGTTCTCAAGAGTTGTATACGATGAGTGTTGGTTTTATATTGCAGTTTTACAAACAATGCTTTTATACAATCATATGAATCACTTAGGGTAGGATAACATAATTTTATCCAACCTCCATGTCTGTATCATTATCTGCCAATAGGTGGGGCCACCAGGGATGTTTGAAAACCATGAGAAGTTAAAGAACTTTGGGGGCAACTTAAAAGATAAGGAACGTCGTTATAATGAACTCAAAGGTATGATATTTGTTAGATATTTTTATTTTGTATATATGGGATAATGGTCTCTGTTACGCAGCAGTGTTAAATTGCTTCGTCGCGAAGCATTTTGACAAGATGCTTCATATTTCTAACCCTGCTATTATGCAATGATGCAATACAATATTTATGATAAACAAAGAAAAGCATTGAATATGTTTGTTAGTATTTTTATTTTTACATGAAAAATATTAATTTTTTGACAGGAACTATTTCAGTTAAATACATTGAATTGAAATTCAGATAAAACCATGGAAATAAAATTAAATTCAGATTATTTTGAAAAAGATAATTATTTGACAAATGTGGACATTTTAACTTAAATGTTGGTGTGAATATATTTATATTTTGACATTAAAAACAAGAAAAAGGCTTTTAAATAATGACATTTCAGTCACGTTTTGATGCAAAACTTATAATTAAACTATTTTTCAGAGGAATTGGAGAAAGCGATCAGTGAAAACATTCGTTTAGAGCCAAATGTCAAAAATTATGAAGATAGACAGCGCCATCTGGATAAAGTGAAAATTTTAGAGAAGAAAAAACATTGGGTGGTAAGTACCCAATTTTGTCAGCATGAACATTTTTAGTAAGTAGCCATATGTAATAGTAAATTCAAATGTGGATAAGTGTAATTGCCGCTAATGTTTTTTTATTAAACTTTGGCAATTAATACTGTTTATACTTTTTGAACGAATGGAGTAAACTCATGTATATAAAATAAATAAATAGGCATACATCAGTATCTTAACTAAGAAAAAAGGAATTTTCACTTGGAATCAGGGTCTGTTCCACTGTCCTCAGTGGGAGTAATTCATTCGGAAGATTAAAACTTAATATAAAGCTGCGATAATCATCAAATTGGCTTTTTAGGTTAAGTTTCTTTATTTTTTTTTATTTATTTCATAATAATATAACAATGGAATGTACAAAGCATGTGCACTTGACACCCTTAGTAATTGGGCGTATCAGTGCATATATCAAAAATTATTGCAGAGCAATCACAAAACATATAATATATAATATATATCATACATTATCTAAATTGTTTAGATGCAATACAGAAACTTTGAAGTCTTGATAGAAATAATTAATTTAAATGGAATGTGATCTTGTAGTAGATATTGTACTGGTTTTAGTACAGCCAGATTTCATCTAAAATGAAACTAACCCTGGGTTATGTGTCTGGGTGTCAACATTTTTGAATGACCTTTACAGGAGTACGAGGACCAACGACGTGCCTACATCACTGCTAAAGAGGAGAAAGACCGCCTGGCCAAGAGGGTGAAAGTAGCTGAACTGAAGCATAAACCAATGAGGGCAAAATTAGACAAATGTTCTCAAATGATTAAAAGATGTGAAGACGAAAAAATAAAAATGGTAAATTTTAATTCAAATTTTTAAGATAGTCATTTTATCGATGTAGTGCAATTTATTTTACAAATCATGTATTGGGAATTTTGACAAAACAAATATTGGGCTCTCTCCCTTCCCTTGTGAACAGTTTTTGTGTCTGGTATTTGGCATATGTAACAATTGTTACATTTTTTCATTTTTTATATTTGCAGACGGATGATATCAAACAACAAGTAGTGAAAGACTCTCTCCCTTCCCTTATAAACAGTTTTTGTGTCTGGTATTTGGCAATTGTTACACATCCATGTGGTTGCATTTTTTCATTTTTTTTTATATTTGCAGACGGATGATATCAAACAACAAGCAGTGAAAGCCCAGCAAAGTAGTAAAGCTATAGAGTCAGAAACTGATAAGGTATGTACAAAGTCTAACTGTAGTAAAGCTATAGAGTCAGAAACTGATAAGGTATGTACAAAGTATAACCATTGGGTTAAAAAAGTCTTTTTAATTTATTGCTTATTTTACATTTTTTGATGAATTTCGATTATGGCATTGCGTTTATGCTTTTGAATTATAGAAGATAGATTTGATTTAAAATTTTTTCACAATAACATTTCAATTTTCGTTTTTTGACAAATCCCATATACATTTAATGGGGTGAATATGAAATAGTAAATATGATACATTTGATACAATTAAAATCCAGTAAAAGCCATATTTAAATCAGGATAAATCTGATATCCGTTCCTTGTAGTGTATAATCTTTATATATTTTAGCTTGCTGAAATACAGCAAGACGAGGAACTTAAAATCTCTGCTGATATTGAGAAAAAGAAAAAGTAAGCATATTCTCAAATTTTTCAATTTTTATTGTAAATAACATGCATTGAATAGGAGATAATACTGGACAATAGACATGCATGTACTATGTAATTTTAGATGGAAACTTGTAATTTATCTCTATTCTCTAAAGGCATCACCTTTTCTCCTTTAACTATGTCACTATGCATGGTAAATTCAGCTGTAATTAATTTCTGTTCTGTCTGACAATAACAGATTGATCAACAGTTCTAAAAAAAAATGATTTCCGATGTATTATTTATTTGTTTGAAGACAATAACATTGAAAAACACTCTTTTTTCAGTTTGATGTTCAAAATAACATTACCATTTTCATCAGAAACAGAAAACTGAAGTTTATTTCCATTAGTTAGAATCCTGAATTGTTTTCATAATATTTTTCATAATTCTCATATTTGTACAGTAATCACATAGTTCCAACCTCAACAAATGAATTGAATATATTGAAAAGTGAAAAAGCACATTGGGGATTATCTTAGAATTAACGTTTATTACAATTTCAAATGTTGATGTAATTTTCAGGATAAAGCAGCTAAAGCGCCATCTTGAGGGACTTCAGAATGATCTTAGTAATCTGCCAGAATCTCAAAACTTCCAGGTAAGAAATGTCTTGTGCCTAAGAAAAAGACAGAAATACTATTATAGTTTGATTTTTTCAGTATTAGAAGTGGTGACATATTGTTTAAATCTCCAACTTTTTTTTGTGGATGTCTGTCGGCATGGTTATGCTCTCACTAGAGGTGAAAATCACATTAAAAATCACTTTATGATGTTAATACAGTGTATAATTTTAGTATTTGAAATACTGTGTTCTGATTGGCTGGAATTTGATAAATCACGTCTAGCTATTTGTGAATGAACGAGATTTGATCCAAACCTATTTCAGACAAACCTACACTAATGATAATACCTAATTATTAGGTAGATGACTCTTATCATTAGGTTAACATAAATTTCTCTTTCAGCCTGAAATAGAACGCAACACCGAAGCTCAACGGGGAATTGCTGGCCATATAAGGAGAATACATACTCAGTGCCAGGATGTAGAACATCAATTACGCACAAAAAAGGGAGAAAAGCAAGGTAAATGGCTTACCCTATGCATTCGCTTCTTAAAAGAGAGCTTAGTCTTTACTTTTTCAGTCTACAATAAATCTCTTAACTCACAGAAGGAATCAGAGTTTGTTGTCGGTTACTATGGCAACCATTTCTTAAATAATATTTCTGTTATACCAAATATTTTTTGATAGATTAATACAGCAATCTAAACTACACATTCTGTGAAAAATTCATCAGAATATATTGAAAAATAAAAAATTAGAGAGATATTATGAGAACTTTATGATATACCCTCGTACAGAGAGATTTCTATTTTGGTCATTTCCTCAGACTTTATTGCATAGTTAATGAGTTCGCATTCTGCATGTGTTACCTCCTGTTCACTGATTGGTTGAGAAAAGCTCAATGCGGTCGGTTTTAAATGATTTATGACCCGAGCTGTCGTGGGCACTGGTCGTGGGGTGGGGCTGCTAAATTGATATAGTCTATGCTAATAAATCAGAGGGTAGTTTATAGACTAGGCTAGACTCTGCGTACTGGGTACGAACGGCTGTGACCTCCCAAGCATTGAAGAAAATGTACAATTTACTCATTTAGGAATTTGAAAAAGTCTGATTTCATTCGAAAACTCTAAAACTCCATTACTTTCCATTGTCCAGCAAGCTTGTAGATTTATGAACAGTTAAGCAAAATTGATCGTACATTAACTTTTCATAAATTGTGATGAAAAAAATGAACAAATGAATGAATGAAGTGAATATATATGTGAATTTTATATTAAAATCTGTGTCTTATATTTATGATTGTAGGTGTTTCACTAGAACAGGCAAAAGAAATTGAAAATCATAAATTAACATGAAGAGTTCCTAAAATTTAACATGAAGAGTCCATAAGATTTAACATGAAGAGTCCCTAAAATTTAACATATTTAACATGAAGAGTCCCTAAAATTTAACACGAAGAGTCCCTAAAAACAACAGGCGATTTTGTGAAAACAACTGGTGAATATAGCCTGTTGCCTGCTGCTAATGAAAGCCCTGTGATTGTATTTATCGTATGATCTGTAAAATGAAGCCTTCTGATTGGTCAGTTCTTCTGCTTTACCAATCTGTATTGCTACTGAGATTGTCTCCATTGATCATCTCTGTCACAATACAGAATATATTCGTCTTGTTCCAATACCGAATTTCTCGAGCAGAATATATCCTGTATTGCACTTCAAATCATTCAATATTTATAGTGTTTTGTGGACATGAAATGCCTGAAGATGATATACACTGTATGTTTGTATTTATGAAATAAACCTATTGATTAAAAAATGTATGTATTGCTCTTTTAGCTATTGATCATGAGTTGGCGGAAATCAAGAACATTAACAACCAAAGGCTGAATCTACTACGGCAAAAACACAGGGACACTTACGAAGCTGTGATGTGGCTGAGACAGAACTCCCATCTATTCAAGAAGAAAATACATGAACCCCTAATGATAACTGTGAGTTGGATAAATTTGAGAAAAAGACTTTTCCTAATATGGAGCGCCATCATGAATTCTCCAAAGAAGCAAGATTTTTTTAATTCAATTTATTCATTCCTTGATTTGTATTCTTATACAGTGGCAGTGATCATATAAAAGGTTTAAAAGGTGACATAATTTCTGTACATAGGCCAGGGTAATGATGTCAAAGGTTGTAGGTAGCAATTCAATATTTAAGAAAAACATTTTAAGGAGTTTTCAAAGTAAGCAAAAATTCTATGGTCATCTTGGTTCCCTCAGTGTACCATTATATGGCAAAATACAGTGTGAAGTGAAATGTCATTTGAAGTAATTAAAAAAAAGTCACATGAAATAATGTTTTTATGTCACCACCACAAGTGGCAGGCCCGTTGCCAAGGGGGGTTCAATGGGTTCGAGCGAACCCCCCCCCCCTGTCCAAAAAATCTTTCAAAATCATGCAGTTTTTCACCATTGTGAGCACTTTTTAAGTGATTTGGGCCATTTTTGGACCAATATAGTCACAAGTGAACCCCCCTGAAATTTTTCAAAAAGTGAACCCCCCTTGGCGAATCCTGGCTACGGGCCTGAGTGGTAGCATATTGTTAGAGTCTCCAGCTTTTTGTGACAGCATCTGGCATTCTGCGTTTGGCATTTCACGTTGGTGCCTGTAACAAATGGCTGGTGGTGACATTTAACATGTTAATCTTCATTGTGATTTTGATTTGAATTCACACAATCATGTTTATTTCTTATTGATTTAGAAGTGTTCATTTTCTAGTTGAACGTCAATGATCCTAAATGGGCCAAATATCTCGAGATGCACATCTCATTTAACGACATGCGGGCGTTTGTTTGTGAAGATAAAGCGGATTCAGAGGTCTTCTTTAAGGAGGTAAAAGACAACCAGAAGTTGCGGATTAACGCAATTATCGCACCGGATAAACATCCTGACGAATTTGAGCCACCCCAACATATCAACACATTACGGTAAGTGGATTCGAACTGGACATCACTCAAATGTCCATATTCAATTTGATATATAAATATACCAGTGGCAAATGTCCCTTGTCCTAGTATAAGATGTCCTATAGTTAAATGTCTTAGGTAAAGATGTCCCATTGTCAAATGTCCTAAGATGGGTAAGTTAGGAAATGGGTCAGGATATCGACAAGAAAATATCAAAAATTGTAATGTCTGGAAAAACAACACAATCACATATACAATTATACATGTACATGTATTATTAAACTTTAATGCATTTGCCCAAAATAGCAATTTGTCCCACAATTAATGTAGAATATTGGCATCAAAGACAGTCTATATCAATATGCAAGAATTCGAAAAGATTTCAGGTGCAAATACTAAATGAATAATTTATACAAAATAATATATTTGTATTTTTGAGCAATGGCATGGGATAAACATGAGTAGACTGCCACTTAAAGAGGGATATTCAAGATATCCCCTGATAAATTGACACTTTGAGCATATGACATGCAAATCTATTCATATTTTAGGCCTAACAATTAATCCTCATTTAAAAGGTTACAAATTAATACCATTATGTGTTTATGGTATTTGTTTTTATTATGTGTTTATGGTATTTGTTTTTATGGCTGCTTCAATTATGGGATTAACTGGCAAAATTAGCTACTCAAAATGACAAGGAATTAGGAATTATCTCTGTTGACAATTTGAGAAGTATTATTATGTCATTGGCTTCCAAAACACATGGCTTATATTCCTTTGGGATAATTTAGCACCTTGAATTGTCAGGGTGACATTGATCTCAAAATGTCATCACAAAATTGGCTTCTTTATCTGACCAATCAGAACAAGCTTTTATAAAATTGACCAATCAGAAGTGCAATGAAAACTAAATGTGACCAATCACAGCTAGCCTTTATAAAATTTACCCCTTATAAATAGAACAACTGCCTCGCTCAGGCAGAAAACAGAAAATCTCAGAATGTCGACAATATTACCGCCACCAATTTCTCTACCAGTGCTTAAACTAGAGAAGCAAATCCACGAAGAAATCTTGATTTGGCTTCGGAAACTCCGAGCAGCATGTCTACAACATAAAATCGTCAGCTTCAGAGAGCGAGAAATTGACACAAGATTGAATCGGGCAATCGCAAATCGCCAAACTAATTTCATAGAGACGTTCAAGCTTCAGAAGCAGTGTTTCAAAGAGACAAGAGATATGTATTTCGCATATACAAATATGGCGCTTGATAAAATACATAAACTGAAAAAAGAAGCTGAAGATTTGATTCTATTTGTGTGATCCAAATAAACCCAACAGCCCTTTTCAGGGCCACCAAATCTTTCCAAAAGAGAAATTAGTTTTGAATGTTATCATTTATTGTATGAGTTGTAGAGGTGTCATGGATACCCGATTTTGTTCCATTCCGCGGAATTAGGCTCTTGGGTCAGAACATGGACCAAATTTTTCAACATTTTGGTTCGGTTCCGGAACAAGAAAATTGTACCTTTACACAGCTTATCTCTCAAAATCAAAAGAAAAAGAATAATAGTTAGTTAAAACTAATACTGATTGAATTATATATATATATATATGAGTTAGTTATTTTCAAAAGGTGGAGTGAAGTACTAGTACCTAGTTTGGTCAATAGAGGGAACATTAATCTGTCCCCGGGAGGATTTTCCCCGGGAATTTCACTTTAGGTGAGTAGTGTAATCAACAAACGGCACCCTTTTCAATCCCATCATGCATGTCTTACTTCAAATAAGTACGTTTTCTGATTGGTGAATTTCCACTTGGGAATGCACCTAATTAGTTTTGGCATGAAGCTCAATTTGATATGAAAGAAATGGTAATCGAGCTAATTTGTAATTATACGTACACGCCAGCAATATTTTGGTTGATTGATAAATGAGAAATAGGTTTTTATATGTGACTATAGGATCGATCAACCTGGTATCAAGAAACTAGACATCAAATTCCATTCTCATTTGTAAAGTAAGGAATGTATGTAATATTTGCAAAGTGAAAATTAAAATACAATAATTTAAATTGTCACTAGCGCGCGGTAATTTAGAAGATGCATAATGATTGATCTCAGACCTAGGGGCTCCAAGGGGGAAAATGAAATATTTATTGAAAGTTAATGAGGTCCACGATGAGGTCTTGTAAAAAATGCAATGTTTGACATTTACCCTTCAAAAATAACGTAGTGTTACTACTAACTGTACCATCGATTCTGTGAATAGAGTACGAATGGAATAGAGGTCCGATTATTTTAGGGATCGAGTTTCTCTGGGCAATGTTGCACTCCCGGGGTTACAATATCATACAATTTTCAACATTTGCAAAAGCACGAAGGGAACCCTGCATTTGAAACATTATTGAATTATGATTTCTCTCGTGTGTCAGACAAGAATATTGTCTGGTTCCAGTGAAGATGTCCTACTTGCTTATAATCTACGGGGGCGGTTGTGATAAAACCAAGAGGGGCAAACCGCTGAAAAAAATTATTGGCTTCTGTACTAGATCCGATCATCTGATTAGCCGAACAGACAATTACAAATGAACGGATGGACACTTTTTTCTACAATTTATATTCTTAGATAACATTTGTTTTAAAAAGGATATTATGTATCCTATGGCTTTGAAAAAATATCACTTATATTCATGAGTGGATATTGATATCTTCGCAAGTGAGCGCAGCGAATGAGTGACGATACTGATATCCATGAGTGGATATAAGTGATATTTTTGAAAAACCATAGGATTGTCCGTTTATCCAATGGGGAATTATTATCCAGCGAACATCGAATAGTCAGATAAATTTTAACAAGATTTATTTCAACATTAATACATGTACGCCTTCCAATGGAAGTTCCATTTCATATGCAATAATTCAACGAATGTCATAAACGTGACGTAATAGGGGGGGTTTGTATTTAATGAAAACGCCGTAAAAACTACATCCAAAAAATAAATAAAAGTATAAAGAAACGTTTTGCTGAATTAATAAAAAAAAATGAAAAAATCAAAACCATCGAATACCACTTTTTAAACCATCGAATATCACTTTTAAAACCATCGAATATCACCTTTCAAAAAGTGATATTCGATGGTTTCAAAAGTGATATTCGATGGTTTGGGAATTGTTTGCGAAAATATGATATCTTCATCCACGTATCAATTATATCTTCACGTGATATTCGATCTATATTATTGTAACCATGGGATAAATTATTTTTCAATATCATACATCCCTTTATAGGTTTGACAGACTTAACTGCCAACAGTTTTTTTTATTTTTTGCGCCTCCGAATTGTCCCAATATTTTCGAAGAAGGAGCTTAAACATCAATTTTGTGTTCACTAAAGTTAAATTAAATTTTCTATTTATTAATTTATATGTTTGTTAGAACTTCGGATTGATGGATATTCGTTACATGAATCGTGGAAATTACCCACCTATTGTTAATGATGAAAATTCAGAAAAGGGAGGGATTTGAACTCTTCAGCCCTACAAATGTTTTTTTCTCTTTACAATTCAAACATGAAAGACTAAACATGTAGTCAAATACGCTCGTAGAAGGGGCTAAATGTTGCTACACTTGCGGGGACGAGTGTACTATTGAATTTAAATGCTCGTATTATTTGTTTCACAACTATTTTACTTAATGTTATGAAATAGAGGAGGTTGGCTGTTCTCGTCCTGTAAGATGTTTCCTCCTGATTTAAACACACGTTCTGAATGTCATTTACGTTAAGTTACATATTATAATTTTGTACCAAGTAACACAATCTAGTCGAGCCGGCTTTAAAAAGTCTCCGGTGTGGAATTTTTTGGTTTAAAATAAGCTGTAATTTATTTATTTTGTCCCTCACTTTTTACCTTGGTGGAATAACACAGGCAGCCAGGATAAATCAAATGACAAAAAGAAACGATCGTACGCAATCAGATCTCATCATCTTTAGTTGAAATCAATAAAGTGAGGCATTGCGCAATGTAGTGATTGTGAATGCATCAGTTAAATACCATATAAACAGTTTTCAATTCATACCGTTAATCGAGTGATTGCCGGTAGTGACCAAATACAAACAGAACCCAGAGATGACCGATTTATCATGTCTATCATGTTTTAGAGTCGATAAGTATAAGCTGTATAAAGTTTATCAGTCATTTATTTTTTGAAGAACCTATATCACTGGTGATCCATTCAATTACGCTGGTTACAAAATGTTCTAACCTAGATCTAGAAGGTATTGTTTTCCTTTTCCCTTATTTCACTCGTAGGTATAATTCCTGCGACATTTTATCATAAACGCATGTCAAGAAAATGAACATGTTAACGAAAAATACTTTAGACAACAACATAATCACTGAGGTGAAACATGATGCAAAAACACCGTGTTTTGGCATCAAGATGTCCAAGCTTCCGGTGATGGATTTTCGAAGATATTTTGTTTTCCCCATTTGAACCATTTTCTTGGACGAGTCTCTCAATAATCATATGTACGTGCACTTAAGACACGATCTATAATTTTTTTTAAAAAAGTTCTTAATATTGGTTTAGCATCATTAAGAAGCGAGAAATTCACTGTTTTAGTTCCTCGCTTTTGATGCAAATACATGTACACCACTCTGTTTATTATCAATGATACAAAAACACCAATGAGCTGATGCAAAAACGCCAGCATAAAAGTATTAATTAATTTCATTAGAAACATATATTCATGTTTACATGTGTTAGTGGTGCATGAATGAAACGCACGATTCAGTGACCCATGAATGAAATGCATCTTGTCCACTTTTAAATGTATTTGTATCAAAATGGCACGTAGACTAACCAAATATCAAAATGATCCAGTAGTAGAGATGCCCTGTTTTGAAATTGAAAATCCACCATGCAAGAAAATATTCGAAGTACAAATCATAGCCAGCAAATTAATTACATTGAGGGCCCAAGGAAATTATATACAAAGTTTAAGCATTTGTAAGGCCT